TTCTATACTGAAGGTCACAGGAAAATACTGAAGGTGTGCAGAAGGGAAGTAACAGACAGATTTCCGTGTCATCAACAGAAGTCTGCGGTGGCACTGGGGGGTGGAAGTTGAGTCAGGGCCCACGCTCAAGAGCATGACACTGAAGTCATTCAGATAGGCAAGGACCGAGGCGTGCAGTGTTTCCTGGAAGTGAAGACACAGAGGGGTCGGGAGACATTTGTGAGATTAGATCCGTGCACCTACAGAGGAAAGGGACCAACTTGGCCTTTTCAAAATTTTTCTCAACATTTTTTTAAAAAAATCTATATTATCTTTTATATGTATCCCCTTCATATTTTTGTTAACATGACATTTAATTAGTTTTGCTTGAAAAGCTATTTTTCACTCTTCACTACTAGAGCAGCAGTGTTTCCTCTCCCATCTCAGGATCTAACAAGTAATACGGGGCACACATTACTACAAAGCCTTATGTCCTATGTCTTACTTATTTTTATTAGTAGTCATTATTTAGTTTTCTCCTATACTTTAATAATCCTGGGGTTTTTGTACTGTATATTGTCTTCTTCCCTTCCTGGGCCATAGTATTTTAATGCTTATTACTTAATTTTTCATGGTTTGGATGTACATCTGTCATTTGATTTTCAATTATTTTCCTAATACTACTTAAATATTTCTTCTGTAACTCCAAGGTATTTAAAGGGATTTAGCATTTGAGTTAAAGTTAAATCAATAAACTGATTAAAGCCACAACTGAAATCTCCAACTTTTATTAAGAAGTCAATAAAGTACCATTAATTACAGAGGCTTTGGTGTTATTTCTAATATAGAACATTATACTTTGCTCAAAGAAGTAATAAAATGTATATTTTCAGTTTTCTTCATATATGCAAATTACGTTCATTTTATCCCGTAGATAATATATCTTCCTTAATATCTTCATTTACCTATAGGTATAGAATTAAAATTCAGCTCCAATGCCAAGGTAATACAGTGCCTAGCCAGCTAAAAGAGAGGTTATTTAATTGCAGGTTTATATTTATTTAATGATTTTTCCTAAGAGCCTGTATCCCTTGTTCAAGAATTCATTTATAGCTGTTTTCTTCCAGAAGTCTAAATATGGTTTTCCCGTACTGCTCAGATGGAAAGACTGACCAAAATGGTACAATGGCAAAGAGGAAAAGAGTCAGAGAACCAACCTCACCTTCAGTGTCATAGCGCTCACTGATCTCGATAAGCATCATCTCCAGGCTGGCCCTGTCTGGAGCTTCTGCTGGTCCATGTCTCTGTGCCTAGCACAGCCTAGCTAGCCTCTGCAGGTCACGAGAGGTATCACGCCTGGCCCCATTCAAAAGGACCTTACAGTCTGGTTGAGTATTATTATTTTTTAAGCCCTTAAATATATTTTATACAAGTGATGTTTACATAAAACATTTCACATTATGAAAATAAAGCTTTAGAAAGAGAAACTCTTCTTTCTATTGGATGGGCCTAGAGGTTTTTAAATAAAAAACAAATAAATGCCTAAATTCATGAAAAATGTGAACGCAAATATTTTAAGGCAGCAATGAAGTAGTCATCGTAATTAAAAGTCTAATCAAGGTTTATGCTATACAGACACTTAAAATACGTACATATTGATTGCTATATACTAATAGAATTTCTTTTGTTTAAAATATTCTAAGTATTGAGGGTGTTGAAAAAGAATTTTTATTAATAAGGTCTATTGGTACATTTGAATATACATAACGTTCATTTTCATCATTGAGCACGTGACTTAGCTCCACTCCTCTGCCCCATTCCCTTACTCTTCCTCTACCCCTCCTCCCCTCTTTATTTACAAGTTTTGTTTCTGTTTTATCCTTCTTTTCTTGTTTGTTTTCCCTACCTTTTTTCCACCTTTCTCCTCCTTCATTCCCCTTCCCAATGGGCATTTCCTTCTTAATTCATAATATCTAGTAGACATGCTGGTCCTTATTTACACTTTTGATTTCTCACACCAGCGAAACAATGCTATATTTATATATGTTTGATCAATTTATTTCACTTAAGAGATGATCTCAAGGGTTATCCATTTACCTAGAAATGTCTCAAGTTGATCCTTTCTATGGCTGAATAGAAGTCCATTGTGCAAACATAAACACACAAAAAAAACAAAAAACAATAATAAACCCACATCTTCTTTACCCATTCACTCATTGATGGGTATTTGGAATGTTTCTAAGCTTTAGATATTACAAACTGTGATATGTCACTATTACAAACTTACCTATTACAATCTGGGAGAGCAAACTTTTTGTTCTTCAGTACTTTACATGATTTTCTTGTAACTTTTATTAATTGCTTGATTTTAAGTTTTTCCTCACAGATAATAAGGCATACCGATTTAACTGTATTTGAATTTTCATGTATTCTGCATACCATAGTAAATAATTATAAGAGAGAAAGAAAGAGAGAGAGAGAGAGAGAGAGAGAGAGAGAGAGACAGAGAGACAGAGAGACAGAGAGAGACAGAGAGAGACACAGAGAGAGAGAGAGAGACTCTGCTTTTCTCTTCTCTCCTTGGGAATTTGGACAGATATAAATTCTGATGGAAGCCCAGTTTTCTAGACCTGATATTGCTCTTTTCCCTAATCTTGGTGAGCTCTCGGCAGGGCTTGCCCTGTCTTACACATTACTCTAGATCTGCCTTTTTTGGGAGTGGCACAGCCTGGCTTTTTGACTGTTTTTCTCTCGCACTGGGTTGTAATGGTGCTGAGTGCAAACACTTGTGCTGGAAGAGAAGGGAGGCGGGAGCAAGCGGGAGTTAATTTAGGCTAATGCCAAAGTCAAAGGAATAATGTTACCGACTATTATATACAAGGGTGATCACAAAGACAGGGGCTGTTTAATGTTTTTGAAGAATTTATTACTGTAAAAGACATCTTCCCACTGATCCTCAAAGTCCGCCCCTTGCTTGGAACACACTTGTCCCATCTATCTGTGCTTCGGAAGCAGTTCTGGAAGAGCTCTTTCGTGAGTGTCTTTAGTTGTGCTGTTGTGGCTGCCTCTTTAACTCTCATGGTCACTTTGACTCGGAGGCAGAACCAGGAGTCACAGGGCGACATGGTGGAGGAGGACACATCAGAATGTTATAAGAGCCTGCTGTTCTGCATTGACTGACGCCTAACAGCAGCAGGCCCTGTATTTCTTATCACATCTCAGACAATCAAGAAAGAAGAATGACATCCAGAACTGCCACAGAAAATGGCAAGAATGATGGGATAAGTTTTTCAAAGTGAAGGAGAGTATTTGGATGAGGATCAGTGGCAAAGCATCTTTTCTTGTAATAATTTTTTATTTAAACATGCTATATTTTTATCTGTCCTTGTATATTAATACTAATATTATACATACACTAATACATATATACATATATAATATTATGTATACATGGAACCAAGTCTACATAGGCCACTTATAAAGCATACTATTAAATGTTTTATATATGTATTCCAAAGAGCTTTCTAGTAGTTTCTATAATTACAGCAAAACTGTCAATGAGTCACCATTAACCCTTAAAAAACATTTTCTGGCAGTGTTCCTAAGGACTTTTATTTTGAGAATTGGTTTTATCACCATGGAAACCTCACTATGTAATGCTGAAAAAAATCTGTTTACTATAGACAATAATGAAAACAATGATGAAGGCACTTAGAGATACCAAAAATCATGTTGCAGAGTCAGGACCCAGGGTACCTAAATGCACATGTAACAGAACATGGTATTTTAGATGATCATAGCATGCCATGGATTAGCATCTCATGGGTTCCTGTGAAGTCTACATGAAATTTTCCTGTGTATGTTTCATTCAGTTTTGCTGTGAAACCAAAACTGCTCTAAAACCAAAAGTTTAAAACAAGTCTCAGAAATATTTTAGGCTGGCATTTCCATCAGATTTCAGACTATTTAGAAAAGATCATTCCATTTTATGAGAAATATGTTTGTCAAATAGTCATTATGTTTCAAAGCATTCCAGTTACTTTATTACTTTCATGGAATGAGTTTTAATATTCATAATTACAGTGAAATGAATGTGACTATCCTGCTGGACTGGAGACCTTTTAAAATCAGGGACATTTAACATAAAGTTTCTCAAGTTGAATGACAACATGGAAACAGAGGGTTTTCCATTGTATTTATTCACATTTTAAACTGCTAGTTGGGTGATATGGTTTCTGTCTTGATGTTCTGACAAAGCCTCATAAGCTCATAGGCAGAGGTCAAAGGTGATTTGACCCTGCAGGAAAGGGGGCCAGTACTTATCAGTGATGAGTCCACTGCTGAGTTTATCACTAAATGTGATGCTCGAGGTGAAGTCTGGTTGGAGGAGGTGGGTCACTGAGGTGTGGCCTGGCTCTGCCCCCTCCTTCCTCCCTTGATCTGGTTCATCTTCCTGCCCACCATGGCATGAGCAGCTCTCCTCTACCAGGCCCCTCTGCCATGCTGCCCTGCCTTGGAGCCAGCTGACCACAGACTGAAACCTCTACAATCTGTGAGCCAAAATAATCCTCTCCTTCCTTAAGGTGTGTGGGTGTCAGGCATTTTATCCCACTAACTAATAAACTAACAAAGACATCTTGCTTCTGAATGCATCTTTTGCTGATAGTTTACTAACTAAATGGTATCTTTCTAGGCGCCAGACACTATTCTAAGGCTAAGAGATCTACAGAGAAACATAAGAAAAATACCCTGTTCATCATGCTTTAGTTTTGTCAAGGGACAAGATATACCCAATGAAACCATGCATTATAATAACCATCAAAATAATTAGTATGCAACTTCAGAGCTGGAGATAGAAGAATAGAGATAACAAACATACTTAAATTATTCAGGAACAAAAAAGTCAAAGCAAGATTTGAACCTATGGAAAGTGGTAAATTTGACATTAACAAAAACAGTTGTGAAATGTTATAGAAGAAAAAGAAACCAAAAAAAAAAAAAAAACAAGAAAGAAAAACACATATGTGTTTAAATTTTATTCTGCCCATGATATTTAAACCCATACATGAGGGAACCAGTTTATAGCAAAAATTAAAAACTCATTAAACAGTTGGAGATAAATCTGGAATAAGGATTAAACACTGTTAATACTTAACTGATTATTGCCCTACATGTTCTTTCTGTACATTATCATCATAATCCCACAGGTAAATGTTATTATCTTTTGTTTATAGATTACTTTATTGCAACTTGATGAGATTAATTAACTTTTCCAAGGTCATTGAGCTTACAAGTGGCATAGACAGATTAAAATGCAAGTTGGACTCTAAAACCCATGATGTCACTGTTACACTGGATTGTCTTATAGGAAGAAAAGTACACTGGGAATAAAAAGAAACTTGCACTTGAATCTGAATTGTTATTTATCTTAGCTGTGTAACATCAGGCAAACCTTCTACAAATTGGCTCTTTTGTAAAGATTAAATAATAAGTGGACCATGCTAGGTAAGCACATAGATGGATGATGATCAGGTAAGTGTGCTAAGGTTTGGGTGCTGAAAGCCCTGCCAAGGCCATGTGCTAAGCCTTGGTGTTCAGTCTATGAGAGCATTAAAGCATTTTCAAGCTGATATTGGAAAGTCAAACCGTGAATAGAAAGATCTCCTCATGTGTTCTAATTTGGGTAAAAGAAAGGATAGAACTTTTTGGAGACTCAACCTAGTGGAAAGAAGTTGGGTAACTGGGGGGACTATCCTTGATGAGAAAATCAGGTCACTAGGAGTGTATCCTTGAAGAGGAGGTGAGGTAGCTGTGTCGTGTCCCTGAAGAGGGCACTGGAACTCTGGCCTCTTCCTGTTTCCCTCTGTGCTTCCCAGTGAGACGTGAGCAGCTCTGCTCCACCATGATTTCCTGCCATGATCAAAGAAAGGACGGAGTGACCATGGACTGAAACCTCTGCAAACTGTGAGCCAAAATCAATCCTTTATCTTTTCAGTTGGTTTTTCTCAGGGATTTTGTCACAGTTATGCAAAGCTAAGATGAGGGGGCGTAGACAGCATACAATGGTGGCAAAATACTGTGTGCTTGGTAAAATTCATTGACCTTAAAGCTGAAAAAGAAGGTGGTGTATAGCACCAACACTCTGTTAACAACCATTTCAAAAATGGGTTTGAAAGAAAACAATTGTAGTTTGCAGCTAATTTATTCATAAGCAGTCCAGATTTTTAAGAATGATGTGGCCATTGTTTAATCAAGCTGACAGACGCCACAGTGGATTCACAGTGTGGGCCCTGTCGTTACACAGCTGGGTCCATGGTTTTATCTCTTCTAAGAGGTCCGTGCAGGTGACAGCATGGCCCTGGGCACAGTGTCTCAAAGGGTGACCCTGCACACAAGTGCTGAACTAAGTGAATGGGGAGGGAAGAGAGAAAAAGAGAAAGGCAAGAGGAAAGAAGGTTGGCTGGATTTAAAAGCAGGAAAGAATATGTCAGCTGAGAATCTAAGATGACTCCAAGTAGTTTGTAAAATTTTTGCAGAATTTTTGTTTCAATACAAACGAAATCCTTTTACTTCATAAAAAAGTAAAATTTCATACAGAATAACGGTCTGTGATTAATTTAGCCTCTGGTATGTGACCTGAGGGGAACATGTAAAGAATCCTGAATTGATCATTATTCAAGAATAAGCTAAGGAGTCAGAGGGCTGTGTCTGGAGATTTTATTCCTCTAGCTGAATAGTTAATCATGCAGCCTCGTAACTGTTTATGGGACTTCAAGAGTGCCCTTAGCTGGCCTCCTTTTTTCTTTCAAGGCAGAAGAAATAGCAATTAAGCAGATTCCTGACTTACTAATGACCCATAACCAGCAAGTAAATTTAGGAACTTGTATTCCCAATCATTTCCCAGTGGGCGCAGTGTCTCCACTGTGTTAATCACACACTCGCCGTAAACACGCGCTGTCATGGTGTTCTCTGGCTTCACTATTGCATTAAAAGTGCTTTTCTACCCTATTAAGTGCATGTCCTACCAAGGGAATTCTTGCTCCCAGTGTGTTTGCATTTTACTGTCAAAAACTTACCCTGATTTTTCAAGCTTGTATTGTGAAACTTATATTGTAAAGTCTATGGAAAGGTTTCCACAGCTTTCTAATTCAGGTAAAGGTCTGAAGTTGGAGAAAAGTCCTGGGCTAGGAACCTCTTGTTCATTTTTCCCACCAACTATCACCTGTGCAAAACTGCTCTGGTTCTTAGAAGTTTGCCCAGGGTCCATCAAAGAAGTCAACTTCACACTCAGAGGCATGGACTATAGGATGAAACCGGTCCCAGTATGTATGACAACCAAGAAAGACGTTGAAATAAAAAATGAGACAAAAATAAAGATTTGATGCAAAGTGAAAACATAAAATTCGCATTCTGAGGCAGGAAGAAATACACAAACTCAGGAAGGCAGGGATTGTATAAAAAAGTCCAGCTCTGCTCTTTTCATTATCTGCTAGAATAGAGAAGGAAAGATGCAGTGAGTACAGAGATTTCTTTCTAATTTTGTGGTATGGGAGTCAGACCTAAACAACAAATATGCTCCCCTTGTTGCAAAGCCATCCTGATGGGACTAATTACACGTGCTTTATAAATAAAGCAATCAGAGGTAAGTCAAATGGACAAATAATCTCCTCATAAAACACACACTAATAAGTGTATAACTAGAGTCTAAAAAGAAGGGCATACAAAGTGAAATAGCCGTAAAACATATTTTTGTCCCATCAGTCCAACAAAGTACATGTTGTGTTTATTTTTTAATCATATACGATGCTGCTAACAGTAAAGCAAAGCAGAAACTTTGACACATTGCTAATAGAATTTTCCGTCTCTCTAATTTGGAAAACTATCTTGCTACACGCATCTCACATTATCTATTGTGTAAAGACTTCTTATGTTAAAAAATTACAAACATAAAATATCCTTATGAATCTCAGCCCATAGGTAATGATGCAGTATTTATCATGGTGTTAAATGTGACCACAGATTATGGTTATGTTGAACTACAGTATACACTTTTAATAGACTTTTATGTAAATATTAAAATTACTCTGCAAAGAAATTATAGTCTATGAAATTCTTATTTTATATTAAATGATATAAAACAATATTCAATAATACATCTGTAATATATGCATATAAGACAAAATCAACAAACTACAGAGAAAAATAGAAAAATATGTAATACAATAATAGGCTTTTTCCTGATTCAAGGAACTAAAGTTTAGTATCTTTATAATTTTTTTTTCATTTTTCTGTTCTATAGGGAACATGGATTCTTTTTTATGGTGTGGGAAAATACAATAAGATTTATTTCCAAAAATAAAAAGAATGGTAGAATGAACCTACCCCAAAAAAGAGATGGAAAAAATATATCCCCTCTTTTTATTTCATTTTTCCGGGGGGAACCTGTGCTGACAGCAGAACAGTGGCGAGGTGTAAGTATCTACAGCGGATAGATATTAGGGAGAGGGACAGGGTTTGTAAGGAACAGTCCAGGAAAACTGTTGACCGCGTACCGTGTGAACTACGTTCTGAGTCGTCCAGCATATCCCTATCTTGCAGGCCTGGCCGCAAACTGTGTTTCCGCTGAAAATCACGCTATTCAGTTCCTCCTCTGAATCACAGTGCGGATCTCCAAGTTATCTCAACCACAAGAAGCCAAATGGCCGGGGAAGCTGGCCAGCCTGTGTGACCCCACGTACAGACACAGTGTCCTTTGTAGAGAAGACTTTGCACTTGTAGATGGCTAGGGAGAGGGCTGCGGGCAGCGGGCTCATGCTGCATTTGAATGCAAAGGTCAACTTTGTGACTAGTGGAGTGTGTTATCCTTGAAAAACAATTATTAGAACATTTCGCTCCCATCCTCTCTTTAAAAAAGCCACACAATTCATTAACACCCAACTGGACCTTGAGTTCAATTAACACCGTTGCCCTGTGTTCCCTCACAGAAATACTGGACAGAGGCGCTGGAGGGAGGAAATGAAGGCTTGAAATTCAATATAGTCAATCCTGCGTCACACTCGGCACGATGTTCCCTGCTCTAGAGTGCTTGTGCACTGAAGCACACATTTTCATACCGAATCAATCTCATGCAGAGGGCAGGCACAAGAGCGCTGGCCATGCGGTGAACACACTGCCTTCTGATGTGTAATTAAAACGGTCACTTAGCCTTAAAATACCCCGGAGACGGTTCTTAGGAAAAACCAGGAACACGCAGGCTTTCTCGTGGCAGGAGAATTGATTTCATAAGACCCAGCCTGGAGCCAGCCTCAGAGAAGCCTGCGTCTGAATTGCTTTAAGTAGCAGTTTAAAGCGGGAATCGCTTCTCGAGGTCCTCCAGCCGCCGTCCTTCACCACGGATGCCTGCTTATTGTGCACGGTAATTCCTAGAGATTGTCTGCCTGGGAGGCCCAGCCCCGGGCAGAGGGAGCCAGGGCAAGGCTGCGCCCCAGATTCCGGCAGCTTCTGTCTGTCTCACCTCTCCAAGGGGTCGCTCCACATCCAGGCTGAGGGCCACTGGCGGGGCAAGGGCGAGGACCTGGATGCGTAGTTGTTTGTGTGGTACCTGATCTGTGAACAGACAGAGGGTTTCAGGGGACACAATTACTGATTATGACTCCAGTTGGTGGGTGACAATTCCTCGAGTGTTTTCAAAGGAAATCAAAACGCTCGTGAGCCTGTGCGTAACAGCGATCGTGATTCGGTAAGTAAATATATTTTAGGCACCGGCTCCCTGAGACCCACGCATCCCTACTTCTGTTTTTCGCTTCTTACCCTTTATCCCTTCTACACACAAGCCAGGAGAGTGGGGCGGATGTGACACATTCACCCCTCGCTAAAGATCAGACAAGAGCTTACTGACTTCAAGGGGTTCCATGCAGGCAAATCAAAATCTATCCACTCCCTCCCCCGCCCCAGCTGACTGGTTTTCAGGATTTCCTATTGCTGTTAGAATAAAGACCAGAATTTTTAACTTGAGCTTGAGGGCCCTGATCAATCTGGCTTTTGGCTAAACCTCTAGCTTCATTTCTAACCTTTTCCCTTTTGTTCTTGCGTGCTTACACCATGATGGTCATCTGTGAAGATTATAAAGAGCGTTATTCTCCTTTCTACCCCAGGGCCTCTGCACTTGCAGTCTCTCTCTCTCTCTCTCTCTCTCTCTCTCTCTCTCTCTCTTTCTCTCTCTCTCTCTTTCTCTCTCAAGTTTTCTTCCACTTCTTTACTACCTGGCCAGCTCCCACTCATCAGACAGGTCTCAACTTGGAAAAACACTTCCTCAGAGGACCTCTTGGTCCCCTACTGTAGAACTGTAGAATGCTACATTTTAAGGAATTCATTATAGTTTGAAACTAATACTCACTCAGTGCTAACTTGTTTAATATTTGTCATTATACCTCATGTATAAGCTTTGAGACAGCAGGATCCATATCTTGTTTGGTTACCAGTGCTTGCCCAGGAAATGATTACAGTACCTGGCATACAGGCTGTGGTCAGCACAGATGACTGACCTTTCTGGTCCTGAGCCCCACCCCTTAGTCACATTCTCTGAATCCTAGCCTAAATCCATCAGCTTAACCCAAAACTCCTGAGAACAGTTTTGTCACAGTTGAAAATAAAGTTTCTTTATACATTTCTCAGTAATTCTCTTACAAAAAAAAAAAAAAAAAAAAAAAAAAAAAAACAGAATGACTCAAATTCTTGCACTCATTACAAGAAAAAGAAAAAAAAAACAGAATGGAAAGGAATCCAGCATTTCCTCAGTCTTTTATATCGGCCGACTAGAGCAGTTTTTCTTTCAAAGAAAGCAGCGAATGTCTGACGCAGCTGCCTCTTCCAAGCGCAGGGCTGTACCTAAACTATCCACATAGACCCGTGGGCTTCCATTTTTATTTTTTCCTTTTTGGTCCTGGGGACTGAGCCCAGTGTCACATGCACGCTGGACAAGTGCTCCACACTGAACTACATCCCCAGCCCTACTCCCATAGATTGGTAGATTGAGATGGGGTCTCGCTAAATTTGCCCAGCCTTGCCTTACACTTGCAAGCCTCTTGCCTTTGCCTCCCAAGTACCCAAACTTATGTACAGCCGAGGCAAGCTTTCCATTTCGTGGCTTGTGCTAAACAAGTGAGAGATTTCTGTTTTAGGAAGGCATTCCCTGAAGGCTGTGCAATGACCTGTTTGCTTGGCATCAAGAATTACACTTCAAATCATCACCCTTTGTTTTTGACAAGTGCATTAGTTTGAACCATATGAAATTACGTTCTGATGAATTAGAAAGAGTTGGGTAGTCCTGCCCCTAAAAATGTCCTGTGCTTTACACTGTATAATTCTTCCAGAACGGTAGGTACATGTTGTTACACATTTGTCCATAGCTTATCCACAGTGAAAGTGGACCCTCATGAAAGCTGTGCACTATGGGAGAAGATAGTGTCATTAGATTCATCAGTGTAACAAATGTATATTTATCATGGTGGTAGGGGCATGTTAGAAATTTGTGCGCCTTCTGGCCAGTTCTGCTGTCAACTGCTTTTAAAATAAATCCTATTTTTTTTTTTTGTCTTTTTGAGACAATGGCTCACTATGCAGTTCCAGCTGGCCTTGAATTCATTTGCAGTCCAGGCTGGTCTCCATCTCATAGTGGACTACCTGCCTCAGCCTCCCAAGTGCTGAGATTATATGTGTGCGCCATCATGCCTGGCAATAAATCCTATTTTTAAAATCATTGTGTATTGGAAATTAAGTTTGGTTTAACTTGATAGCCAACTATTGTTTCTGACCCAAATTTTTCTCCAAATACATCCTTCACATTCTCTTTAAGACAAACCTGGGGGAGTCCTAGATATCTCTGAAAGATTCCCATGCAGACGGGATAAAGTCCTGCAGTACCTAAGATTCACCGCTGCCTGGATCCAGCCTATGCCTCGAGATTCGCCTCTGACCTGCACGCATCACTACCTGAATCCTTAACCTACTTACTCTGTCTGAGACCTAATTGCAATTGCATTTGTGGTGTGAACGGAGAGTGCTATTTCCTCTTTCTAAAATGCCTCTCTCCAGCTCTCCAGGACGAAATCTGCTTATCCTACAAGACCCAGCCTTTCATTTGCTTGGAAATATACCATTCTTTCTGTAGCATTTTATGTTACTCAGGGTATACTTATCCCCTTATTAGTCTCTTTGTCAGTTTCTCATCCTCGGGTTCATAATTAAACACCCCCATAAACACTGAATTGAATAGAATCCCAGGACAATGCCTGAATCTTTCTCAATGGCTAAAATCAAAATAAGACCCAGGGTTGAACAAGTATTTTCACCACTCATGAGAACCTACTAGGTGTAAGTTTCTTCAATAGCTACAGTGGCTTGTTCATACTTTAGAAATGTCCCTTAGCTCCAAAATGTGTACCCTGCATGTCCCACACAGTACCTTAGCGTATCCATGGTTACATTTCATATAATGCAACTGAATTGAGAAGGCACCTAGATATTTTTTTGTGTGTGTGTGTGAATAAATGAATGGTAAGTAAGTGCTATCTTCAGTCAAGTATTCCCAAAATCAGACCTTGAGCCAAGGATTTACATGCAAGTTGATTATTAAGTACTTTTTCTTGGGAGAAACCAATATTGAAGGCAGACAGTAGGAGGAAGAGAACGGTGGAGAGGGAGGGAGGGAGTTTCCCAGGAATCAGTCTCAGCCTGGTCCTTCAGGAACTCCGAGGATGGAGAGCTCTTCTAAGTGTGACCTGTCTTCAGACAAGTGATTTTCTACTCCGCGTCCATCACTCCCGGCTGCTTTAGGGAGACAGCACATCTAGGTTCTGCTGGCTCCGAAGGTCACCGTGTGAATAGCAGGAAACAGAGGGCGTAGGAGTGGCAAGCAGCGCTAGCGTGGGGCCAGCAGGTAGGAAACACCATCTGGCAGCCTGCATTCAGCCGGTAGGAGAGGAGCCTGCCATATGCACGGATTGGGAATCTGTGGGAGGTTTCCTTCCTGAAATAATCCCCTTCACACTACCAATTCCCGAGACAAAGCCTGTCTGTCATCTATAGGAAAAGCAATATTTTAAAACAGAATTACTTTGGGTGGGAGGAAGGGAAGGTAGAAATATTGATCTGAAACTCACCCTATGCCACAGAGATTTTTATGTCGAGGGACTTAGCGAATTGTGCTTGATTAGTCTGCCTGTCGGTTTCTCCCTATAAGCACTGAATGAAATAGAATTCGAGGCAAATAACTGACTTTCCCCAGGGCGAAGATCGTGAGGTCCAGGACCTAGCAAATCTTCGTACTCAGGAGAACGAAAACACTATTTTGCTCTTAATTCCATTTCCTGCTTGTCCTCTGTAATCCACGGTGACCTTTCACTCGCGGCAAAGCGAGGCCTCTCCGGAGCCTGCACAGGGCAGCTCCTCTTGCTTCTGCTTCAGATTAGCCCGCAGGGGAGCTATGAGCAGGGCAGCTTCTCCTTCTGGGTACAAGAGCCCTGGCTTTCCACTGAAGCAGTGTTGCTTACCAAGCCAGATTACAGGGCGCTTACAGAACTCAGCGAAGACATTAAGCATTATCTATGTGTTTGCAGAGGAGGAGGCTGATCCTTCAGTGAACTTGAATTCGACCCTTGGACCAAATTGTTTTCCTGTGGTGATTGTGATCTGTGACGGGTGACACAGACACCGAACACGGCCCAGTCTTTGCTCCTTGCTCCTTTGTTTGTGGATCCTGTGACACTCAGAGGTTTGGACAAGGACACTGAGGTCTGTGCTCCCAGACACCCTGGCTCTGTGTGCTAAGCACTCAGTTAGCCCTCCAGCGAGACCGCAGGCTCTGGTGTGTCCCTGAGGTTTCTTTTGAAGAACAGACATGACTTAGAGAATTCCCTCCCATCACCTCAACTCAGCCCTGTCCGTGTTATACTTCATCTTGCTCTCATGGCGACCCATCCCTCTCCTGTCTTCCTATCCACTTTTAGACAGATACACACGGGCTTTGCTTAGCTTGGGAAACAAAATACACACCAATGCCTGTGCCGGACTGCTTGAGGCCACCCCTCCCTGTAAACGCATCCCGAGGTCCTGCCTGCCTCCTACTCCACCAGCTTCTCTCTGCACTCTGTGCGCTTATTTCCTGTCTACCATGCCCACCTAGGCAGTCTGCAAAAATGACAAAGTGTCTTCCCTCTGTGGGTGCTACTCTAACTGCTTTGTGGTCTCAGCTCATTTGATTATCAGCATCTCTGCTTATCAGGTGGAACAGAGAGGCCCCAGGAGGGCGTTGCCCAGGTAAGTAGCAGAATTTGGGTTCCAGTGTGAGCTGTCTGGTTCCAGAACCTGGGGACCAACCACACCATCATGATGGCTTCCACCAACCCCGTAACTGAACTACAACCTTATGCTACGAACACTTGTCTCTTGGTAGCTGTTGGTATTGTAGGGTTTGCGCTGGATAAGAATGTAGTATGAAGCTTTAATACTCACAAATGTGTCCCCCTCTTTTTATATAAGTATAATGAAACTTTATTAATCAGAAATGGACTGATTAAATTTTTTATGAAGAGTGCACTAAAATTCATATTTTCATGATACTTTAAAGGTGAAAGTAATTAAGTTAACTGGTAAATTACTCAGCAAAACATCTAAGGAAATAGGGACAGAATTTAACCCAGAAAGATGAGGAAATTTTAGGTAAGTTTTAAAAGTTGAAGTATAAATTCAACTTCCTGAGTGCATTGGAACAATAATATGTAAAATGCACTGATTTCTGCCTTGAAGGATGTGTAATCCAGTGGGGAAATAATTGAAGACAGAATAAGTGATAGAAAATGCCACTCGATTATGCTCCAGTGAATAGCACAGTGACACTTGTCTTCCTCTACTTGGATAGAATTCACAGGACAGATCCTGAGAGCTACTAAATCCTTCCAAGGGGCTTTGCCAGCTACCACTGAGAGGGGGGAGATCACTGCAAGCGTAAACAAAACTGCCCACGTTAAAGCTAAAAGGAGCCTCAGAGATTACACAACCAATCCTCTCTGTGGAGAGGAGGAGCCGAGGCGAAGTTGTTTTGTGCTTTTTTATATATACTCAAAAGGCTAGTTTATAGCAAATTGGACCCAGAATCCAGCTTCCTTGATTTTGTTCCATCATCAGATCCAATAATTACTGCTTTGATCCATTTGTAAACATGTCAGAGCGTAAGCTATTCAGCAAACATTTGTTTCATGATGAAAGAAAGAAAAGAAAAGGAAGGAAGGAAAATGAAAGAGGAGAGGAGGAGGAAAGGAATGGAAGGGAAGCAGGTAGGCAGAGAAAGGAAGGGAGGAAAAAAGGAAGGAAGGAAAGAAGGAAGGAAGGAAGGAAGGAAGAACAGAGGAAAGCAAAGAGGGGGAAAGAGAGAAAGGCATAGATAACTGTGCAGAATGAAAAGCTGAACTATGAGAACAACTGTGCTCGGCCCTGAGTCCCCCAAAGGGCACAGATCGTTTCATCCGCTTGGTTTGTGATGCGCTTGAGTAACTGGACCAGAGCCGGCCGCCGTGTGGCTTAACTGCCACTGGATGCTCGAATGAATGATTTGTGTCTTTATATACCATGTCTTGAAATGGGTAAACATTTCCATTCCAGAGACCAGAACCATCCAAGCTCAGTAAAGTTGAATTACTGGCTCATATCTAGGCCTAGACCCTGAACCAGAATTGAGGTCCTTGGCTTCTAATTCATTAGATAACTCTCAAACTTCCCTTTCTGAAAAAAAATATCAATTAGGTAATTATTCTGTCAAAGGGCTAAAGATAGGTTATGTAATCTCAGCAAAAACCAGCAGAAAATGGGGAGAGGGCTGATACATGCATATCTGATGTCGCTGTTTGCTTGCTGGTCTATTGGGGTCATTTCTACTCCAGGGCCTACTGTGCTGTGTCACATTAGTGACAAAAAGAAATGGCTTTGCCTTTTTACTCTCCAATGTTTCCTTTCCTTCTTGTCTCTCTCCTCGGAGCTCAAACTGTCTGGAGAAGCTGACTGAGCAGATGGCGTCTGTCCTCCTGATGGTCCTCCTCAGGTTCTCAAGGGACCTGGAGCAGCTCTAGCTGGGTTAGAGACTTTCCCGTTGGACAGCCTTCTCTGCAATCTAACATCCTCCTTGGTGGGGGTCCTGCCTCCCTGGCCAGAAAGATCGGACTGTTCCTCGGGTTGGGTTTCCGTGACCTCTCTTAAAGTCTTGGTCTTTTCAGGTGCAGTCTGTCATTTCCCCCTTCCATTACGATGGACCTTGGTCCATCCGTATCCTCACTTGGTAAGGCCGCAGATAGCTCAGGAATCTAGAGCTTTGGAAGTGGAAGAGCTCCCTGTGAGGGACTTTGAGGTTTCACAAAAATAGAGGATATAAAAAGAAGAACTGGGAGAGAGAAGGGGAAAGCTGTGTAAACACTGAGTTCCGGAGAACCAGAGTGAAAGGATGGAGTGCACACAGCTGGTAACGGCACACGTCCACTCTGCACTAAAAATGGGTAGAGAAGCGTGGAGATTGGAGATGCCCAGTGCTGTCTTTCCCTGGAGTTTAAAACTCTGATGCAATATTTTGAGGATCATCGTGAGGATCAGCTGTCGACAGCCTGAGGCAGGATGATCAGTTAAAGATTAAAATAGTCCTTTTGTCTGGACTCCCAAGCAGAAAGAGCACCTGAAGGCTCAGGGTACCACAGAACCTGTCCACACGGCTCCACCTCTGTCACCTTGCTCATATGACCTGCTCTCGGGCCAGGCTTGCTATCAGGTGCTGAAAAACTTGACTGTGAACGCAGAAGGTGGACCTCATTACAGAAGTGGCCTTTATTTCGTTCTACGAAGTAAAGGAAACCAAGAGTTCCCTTCACATAATATGAAGGGAAGGTGAGAGTTTCTAAATACCCCGAAAGTGTCAGGAAGGTCCTTTGGTGAGGGTTATCCAGAGACAGAGAAATTGGGACTGTAGACTGCTTCCCTGTAGGAAAGAATATAATGATTTCTTCTATTGCATTTGACAAAATAGTGGACACCATACTTCTAAATAGCCTGTTATTTTTCCACTGAAAAGAAAGTTTTCATAAAACCCATATTGTACATGATTCATATTTTTTATGTGTCTGGGGAATCTCTTTTCCTCTAGCCACTCCATGTGATTTTTAGCTCCTCCTTTATAACCCATCCACCATGTGGACACAACTTCCTTTAGAAAGTGATTTTTCTGTATCTAGTCTGTATTTCTCCCTGTCCTTCATAAGATCCCACGTTTGATCACAAGGCATAGAAGATGGGTGAACCCTAGAACACACTGCTTAGTTGGAACCCTGGTTTCACTTGTTCTTAGCTGTGTGACTTTGAGAATGTTAATTAAATCTGCAGTCTTAATGTCTTCTGCAATAAAACAGAGTGATGGTACTAACCACCCCACAAAGTTGTTGGTAGGATGAAAAGTGTTGATGTGGGGGAAAGGCTTGGACCAGGTGCTGACACGTGATACAAAGAAAGCACTTGAGAAATCTTAGTTATTCCTACTGCAGTGACATTTATTCTGGGAGCTTCTCTTAGCAGCCTTTGAAAAGGAAAGTGCTCTGGCCCATTACTTCGGCCACAAAGATAACCACAGGTCTTTGTTTTATGAAGGATCCCGGGCTCACCTGATTGGACAAAGTACGAGACCCAAGTCACAGGGGAGCCACCGACCCAGGACCTCACCAGGGAAGGCTAATGAACCTGAAGGCGGAAATTTCCTTTCTCGAGACTCTGATTTTGGAAATACCAAGAAAATGAAGATGACAACATCAGTGCCAGACTCCTGAGGGGGCAGATGATGAAGTTAGGAAATTATATTGGCAGTAGAAAGGAAGAATAGCTGATCAGTAATGTAAGTAAAATTAACCAGGTGTAAAAACTTAGGTTCAATAGAGATGGAGGACAGGTGCAAAATTCCATTTTCTCCCCTAAAGGAGGATTCTCAAAATCTTGTTTGGGCTTCTCCCAGGTGCAGCTTAGAAACTATAACCAGTCCCATTCCACTCTAAAAAAATGTCTCACTTGCCCTAACCCAAGGGGCGGTCTCTTCCTGAAGAGCCTAAAACACTAAACAGTGTCAGCACTGTCCACAGAGGACTAGGCAGGAACTGGGCATCGTTTTTCAGTGGTTCTGGGGACCACCAGCCAAGGCAGTTACCGCTCTCCACTGCGCCCACACACAATTCCCATCATGGTCCTCACTGGGAACAAGGTGACCTTGCTCTGGGCATGCAGGGACTAACTCTGTTGCCAGAGCCCCTCCGTGTATATCTGGGTGGATTCAGACCTTGTGGGTCTTGAAAATTACACAACCTTCTTTCACCCAGTGAATATAAATGTAGGTCCGCAGTCTAGGCAAGGCCTGTGCACTGGGGGCTGGAAGCGTGAGCTCCATTAGCTTCACAGTACATCTGCCTCTGCTACGGCCTCAAGAGGAACTGTCCCCCACAAAATTACCTCACTGGGTATGTGGACAGCAGTGTGGACAGTCACACAGATCTGCGGGGTCAGACCTCTCGGGCTACCCCTGCTGCCTCTCACCTGCAGTGTTCCTCCCTCTGAGGCCTTGGCAGGGGATTCTTGATGCTGACAGGTCTACGTTTGAGTAGGACCACACCGGTGCACACCACTGCCCCCGCTCACTGGGTGTCTGGTGTACACCACCCAATACTGCAGACAAAACTGTTGCCTCCACCATTGTCTTTAAAAGCATGATCATTGCACACATACATACACAAACCTTCCCGCACACATCCCTCGCAGAACTGCTTATTTTCCTAATGTCCTTCGAATAAAGGCCAGAAATCTATTTCCTGGCACAAAAGGCACCTGTCCACTTCTCCAACTCACTTCTCTCCTTCCCTCTCCCTGCAGATCTGCAGAGCTGTGAGAGGTAACGTCCATCTGTGGACATCCACGAAAGGGTACGGTCAATAAACCTTAGGAGTGATCTCTGGTTTTGAAGTCCACTCTGATTTTTCACTTCCTCTCTTCCCATCCACCACTGCCTGCAGTGGCATTCTCAGAAAAGCCACTGGGAAAAGATGGCTGATCCAGTGGTGGCTTCATTTGACCGTGCCTTTAAGGAAACACATCAAAACAAGAACACAATAACTGCATGATGCGTGCTATGATTCTTGGTCAGTTGAAAAAATAAAAATAAAAAATTTGTGAAATATTTTCATCCTAAGTACATGAGGACTTGGGTGGATGGGCAATTAGAGAATGAAGAGAGGGTTGCAGGCAGGTTGGCATGACACCTGGAGACAGACGACAACACAAAGGCCTAAGAGAAGCTGGAGCAAGTCCATGGTGACACAGAATAGCAGGGACATGGAGAACTGCCTGGGTTCTGAACAGAATTCAGAAATGTGTCACTTGATAGCCACTGTCACAAAGTCTTAACTCTGTAAGTGTTTGATGAATGAATGAGTCATCTTTTCTACAAGTGTCTAGCTCTTTGAAGTCAGGGCTGTGTTGTAAATGTCCTATAAGTCCACAGAACCCAGCATGGCACCTGACTCCAAGTGACACTACCTGGCTCTGCTTGCTGGCTTGATGTGGAATACACTGCCTATGGAAAGGGAGATTTTTTCCTTTATGTTTCAGTGAGCATCACACACACAGCTGGTCAGACTCACTTCCTGTTTCATCTTTTGTATGCTCCCCAAATCTGCGAAATAAACCAGGCAAGAGCAAGAACAATTGTTGGAATCAGCACTACAGCTCTCCAGAGATTCACCCTCCCAGCCTCATCTTTGCAACGCCCAGTTCTTTGGGTTTGTTTGATCTGTTTCACAGCGGGCTCTGAGAACAAGGAGGATGCAGTCGTGTCCCTAAAAGTGGACTCTGCCACCCGAGGCCAGCTCCTCAAGATCCTGTGTTTCCCAATTTATTTGCATAGAAAACTCTGAGCTTGAAGGGTGTTTTAGTGAAACAAGAACAGTAGCCCTGAACTATTCCCTAGTACAGGTGCTAGGACTGGTAAAGGTACTGCTCTCTGTGCCTGCTTTGTTGTGGCAGAAATGGAGCATGCCTGCTGGTTAAGGGGGAGAGGACCATGCCAGAGAGAGGTGCAGATGATGTCCTTCATCCTCTGTACTGCCTCAGCATCGAACTATAGGAAGTGAGGGAAAGAACAGAAACCCCGGCTCGAAAGAAGGAACAGCCATATGCTGGAGGATACAGCCTCCAGGGTGTCCCAGGACCCATGGGTACATGGGGAGGGGGCAGTCATGATTCCTGCCCGTCCTGTAGCCTCCCCGGACCTGCCGGGATTTAGGAGGCCGCTGTTGTGCAGCTGCAGTGAGTGGTCCAGCTCAACTTGCTCACCTGCTGGAGAGCAGGTCCTGCGGGGCAAAGAGCCCAAAGCAGCAGAAGAAAGAGGCAGCTGAGCCTGCAGGGTCTTCGTGCCAGAGGAAGGACAGAAAGGCAGGGCAGCCAAGAGGGACAGCAGGGCTCACAGCACGTGAGGAGACAGCAGGCTTCCCCAGGCCTGTCCAGCAAGCAGGCAAACAAAAGCCAGCTCTCGGGAGGTCACGGAAGGCCCAGGACTCCCGTTATCAGCCACACGTGAGCCTTCTCTTCCCCATACCACCATCTAAGGGAAGGAGGACCTGGGAGAAACCATGAAAAATAAGAGCATTTACCCGACATGGTCAATGACTCAGATCAGATCAAGTTAAAAATCTCGGCATAGCCAAGGAAACCAACAGAGCGAAGAGAGAGCTTACAGAAAGGGAAAAAATTTCCAGCCGTTCCTCAGACAAAGGGTTAATATCTAGAATATATAAAAAGCTCAAAAAAGGCAACCCTGCCCCCAAAGCAAAAGACCCACTCAAAATATGGGCAACTGAAATGAATGACCCCTGTCAGAAGTACAAAGCGGCCAGCAAATACGTGACAAAATATTCAACACTGCTGGTCATTGGAGAAATTCAAATTAAAAATAACACTGAGACTCCATCTCACTCCAGAAATGAAGGCTATTTTCAAGAAATCAAGTGGTAACAAATACTGGTGAAGCTGTGTCGCAAGGCGAGAGGCTTTTTCATTGTTGATAGGAGTTTAAACTAGCACAACTACTCTGTAAACCAGTAATGGAGACTTCTCAAAAAGTGAAAACTAAAAATTTTATTTAATTTAGCTTTTCCTCTTCCAGGTATCTTCCCATTTAAAGGCATCATACTAGAGTAATATATGCACACCCATGTTTATATAAGCATAGTAAACAATAGGAACCCCTTGAAAGCAGCCTACACATCCATCAATAAATAAATGGATAAAGAAAATGTGCTATTTAACACAATGGAGTACTATGGTGCCATAAAGAAGGATAAACTTTCTGTAGGAAAATGGATACACCTTGAGACCATAAGGTTACGTGAAATAAATCACACACACAAACTTAAATATTGCATGGTTTCTCTTATAGGAGAAACCCAAAGGATAGATAAAGAGCAAAATAAAAGACAGACAATAGAAAATAATGAGATAGATGGGAAGGGAACCAAGAGATGGTGGGAGGGGGAAGGGAGGACAGGGAAACGAGATTGAAAAAAAAAGAATTGTGAAGTATTGTGTGTATGTCTCAAGTTCCCATAAGAAATGTCTTCATTATGTACTACAAACATATACAGTGTGTGTGTGTGTGTGTGTGTGTGTGTGTGTGTGTGTGCATGTGTGTAGGTGGGATCCAAGAAATAGATGGGAGGCTGAGAGAAGGGAGAGGAGGGAATAAAAAAGGAATTCAGATGTGCTACACACATGTACCACCTCCCTGTGATGAGTGTGACCCTCACATGCTACTGCGACAGCAAGCAGTAACACAGAAATGTCACCCACGCTTTGGAGGCAGATTTATTTATGTCTACGGGCACTGATCGGGATCATTCCAGGGGTATCAGGCCCCAGTCTCAGGTGGCTTAGGGCTTATACGGGATAGGCAAGCAGGAAGTACAGAAGCAGGATGGTCCATTGGGGATTGGTTTACGCGGCGTGCATCACAGTGACCAGCCGTTTCTAGGAGACAGAAGCAACTGGAACTGGAAGGGAACTGTCACCTGAGCAACTGACAAACAGAAGTGTACTGGCAGGGCGTGGGGGAGAGTGCATTTTCTATTATGTTACCTTGCATATTATGTACTACAGCAATATATAATATATATATATATATTATATATGTTTCAATTGTGAAAGCAAAATGCATTTCTAAAGATAAATCTTTACAAAGTTAAAAACTATATTTTATTGAATTATTTGTAATTAAAGAGTCCAACCAAGGCTCTCATTGAAACTTTATCTACGGGCTGGGGATTTAACTCAGCGGCATAAGCACCTGCCTTGCAAGCAGGCAGTCGTGAGTTCGATCCCTGGTACCGATAAAAACGAAAAAGACAAAAAAAAAAAAAAAAACTTTATCTACTTTAAAGGGGAAATCACAAAAAATACAGCTCAGATGAAAAAAGAAAATAATCATATGATGCTAATAGCATGCTACCAAATCAATAGCTGAGAAGGATTAAATAAGATTAGAGACCTATAAATATGGTAATTGCACTGAGTAAAGGATTTCATGATAAATGAGTCTGTATTCCGTAGGTCAGAGTTGCACTGATTAATCTCCATGCACTTGGGTATCCTGGAGGATTTCCCGCTCTAGGAAGCTGCAGGTGTGGCCAGGCCTGGGGCTAAACACATAGCTGAGAAATGATCCCCTGCAGCTCCTACCATGCATAGCAATAAGCCACAAGCACCTGTTCCAATCAAACCAAGTCGGAGCCTGGGTAACAGTGTCTTGGGAACAATGATCAGATATAGCAGAAGCTATCAAGGGTCTTCCGTATGTGTGACAAATAAATTCAACTTAGTAGTGAAGGTCAACTCAATTTAGCACCAAATATCTTTTATGTGTAAGATGCCACCCTAGGCATTAAAAGAAAAATCTCAACTCAAAGCCGATAAAAATGTGAAAAGCTGTAGAGGATTAAGAAGTGCTCACTGTGGAGTCTTAACCGTTTGTATTTAATAGTCAGGCTGAGTCTAAACTCTCAAGGTGTTCCCACTTCTGTAAGGGATGTGAGTATCGTATTAAGAGGAAGATTCCTGCTCTCCATTGGTAAACAGCACGGCCACTTGCAATCTGAATTTTACATGAAAGACGTGAAAAGCTACCTGCTTGTTTTAAATATAAATCAGTATGTTCAATTATTGATTATTCAGCTTCGCTTGCTCTTAATAATATAATAGCTCCCGTCCTCAGACAGAACCTTGATAAATTCTCTGCTATAAAATAACTCATCCAGAAGGAAGGTATTTTGAAGTCATGCGATACAGGTGCAATAAGGAAGAAACCGTTCTCTGTGGCAGGGAATCAAACATCGCTGCCTAGTAGCTGTTCCCCTGTTCTTGATAACGGAGCCCTGATTATTAAGTGGATATCAACTAAAACCAAATTTCCACCTCTGTCCTAGTGAAGTGTGGACATGGACTAATTCTGGCTAATTGTATACATCCAGAAATGATGCAGCTTTGGAGAAGTTCTAAAGGGACCCGAAGAGTTCATCCTTGCCCCTTCCTGCTGACCAGAAGGCATGTGAAAGGCTGGAGTTCAAGCAACCATACTGTACCATGAGGCACTATACTAAGAATAACAGATAAAATTAGCTTTAGTCTTTTGTCAGAGACCACTATGAAGCAGCTCTGAGCAGGATTTAAAATTAACTCATTGGCTTTCTATGTTTACCTGTGAGTCTGTCGTAGGCCTCGGCCCCTTTCTTGGTGATGGGAGCTGATTCATAGTAAGTGAACCTCTATGAATCACTGGTCCTGGCTGAGGCCTCACAGTGGCCCGTGAGGGCAGAAGATACCTCAAAAGGCAAGATAAGGCCACAGCTGAGGACACCTTGGCTCCAGCACTAATTAAGTAGACAGAGACTGCAGTTCAAGGAATCTCACTCCTGCAGTCCACTCCTACCATAAATGTCATCCTGGAGATAAGACGATTCTCCTAAATTGGTATAATTTACTACTTGGAGAAGTCTTTGAAGTGACTCCCAAGGTCTTGCTCATTTCCCATGCTTTTCTCAGTTTCCCCACCCTTTGTTTTGGACCTAATAAATATGTATGGGTGGTCCATAAAAGTCTTGGTCTTGCCCTCAGAGTCTCACACTCGCTTTC